CTGTCTTTATCGCAAGTTTGCAGCTCCTGGTGAGCTATTTACTGCCATTTTAACCCGACTGGATAAAGTGAGAGACGATAAGACGGCGCATTACCTTTCCAAGACAGCCACACAGCTCCGAATTATTGAGGTGGTCGCGAAATGGGTATCACTTTACCCCGGCGACTTCGCCCGTCCTCAAACTAGACGAAACCTGGAGGAGTTTATCAGACATCTGAGTACAGAGCCGATTTTCTCAATCGCAGCGCAACATATGCGACGACACCTCCAATTCAATGTCGTGGAAGACGACGATACAGGTTGGGCAAACTCGGATGAGACTAGCGATAAGCTCGCAAGTGAGATCTTGTCAAAGGACATGAACGAGCTGTCGTCGGGTGTGAGTGTGTTGACTGTGGAGTCGGACTTGGACGTAAGACCATCTGGAAGCTCAGAGGTCTCTCTTGCGGACAGAAGCAGCAGTGTCTCGAGCCAGGTGCATTTCCATACATTTGAGGACTACGAAAGAGCCGCGAGCAACCTGGAACCTACGGACAACTTACCTATGAACAAATTCCGCTACCATATATTCATGGACATCCCCGACGATGATGTTGCGGACGAGCTGACGAGAATCGATTGGATCATGTTTTCCTCAATTCGAATACGCGATTTCGTTCGGCATGTCAGCCTATCTGCGTCCCAAAAGGAGCGTTGCAAGAGTTTACGGAATGTGAATCGAATGATCAACCATTTCAATCATGTTGCCAAATGGGTTGCCAACATGATTCTTTTGCGGGACAAAGCCAAGCATCGAGCGCTAATATTAGAGAAGTTCATGAACATTTCACTGAAGCTGCGGCAACTCAACAACTACAATGGGCTGGCGGCCATACTAGCAGGTGTGAACGGAACGGCCATTCATCGATTAAATCAGACGAGAACACTAGTACCAGCAGAAGTCCAAAAGCGGTTTGCGCGGTTGGGCATATTGATGGGAACCCAGAAGAGTCATTTCGCCTACCGTCTAGCCTGGGAAAATTCTTCCCTCCCCCGTATTCCTTTCATTCCCCTTCATCGAAGAGATTTGGTGTCAGCAGAGGAGGGAAGCAGAACATTCGTTGGTACTGATGGAGATCGCATCAATTGGAAGAAGTTTGAGGTCCTGGGAGAGGTCCTGTTACCAATCATGAAAAGCCAGAGCACATCATACCCAAATCTAACCAAGCACGACACTGCAAGAGAACTGATTCTGGGTTGTCGCATGCCAACGGATGAAGAGGTAAGAATTCAGTTGCATCATCACTCAAGGACACAAACTAATGGTGTCATGCAGGATATTTATCAGCGAAGTGTGCAAGTCGAAAGTGGCTCAGGGAATTTCGCTGAGCCGCCTAAGAAGAAGTTCCCATGGTTTGCAAAGTAATCTATCAATTGCTTGGACGGAGTTTACGGAGCACGCATGCGCACTATACTTATGGATGCAAACATCGGGAGCATGTTATAGACTTTGTGCGTCTATTGGCTTGGACTGAACATAGCCAGATAATGATGTACACACCTAGGATTTATGTGGTTGACTTACCTTAGTAGTAGGGGGCTCATATTTTGGACATCCACCCTACCCTAATGATTAGCGACTTGGCTACGATATCTATCAATATCTCTCAACAGCCTGCCTATAACATTTTGTATGATCACCGCTTATTGAAATGTACCTACCTTGAGGACCTGCTCTGGTAGATAGATAATGGACGTTATCAGATCGCTCCTCCTTTCCACTGTCCTGTCGTCAGGTTCTTCTCACATTGCATTGGGTAAGGTAGGTAGGTACTAAGGTTGTTAGGAAGGACAACCAGCTCCTTCCTTGACCACAAAAACAATCCTGGGGGTCATTTCCCACCAACAACACCGCGGAATATTTCGCAGGTATTGCCTCCCCTCCCGTCCCCTCCCATTGCGTACCTAAGGTAGTCAAAGCATGGAATAACAATGTCGTGCGCGTTGCGGCTCCCGACTATTCGTGTGATCGCAAACCAGGCAAATGTTGAACTATCAGCTTCAGCATCGATCAATATTGATGCCCCTGGTGGCGCATGGCATATTGCAACGATCAAGCATCTCTCCTCGGCAGTGGAAGATTCTCATCTTTGGATTGCTCGGTCCGGTGCTTGTTGCCTTGAGGTTTCTATTACAATAAACGGGCATCCGATCCTTGAGACTTTCCGTCTCAATGCCATCGCCGAGGCAGTCAGCGGTTGCGAGGTATGTTGGTTATGCCTTGGAACTTCCAGAGCTAGTTGTAACTGAGTTGATCAGGTTTGGGGTCGCCTGGGCATTCATCTAGAACCCAACCGTTCGTGTCCAGTTCAGCAACCTGGACTTCTATCTTTCTCACTCCAGCACCCAGATCTCTCTTCGGCTCTCGTTGCCCCAGTTTCAGCCTGTACCACAGCATTTCGAAGGCTAACGTTGTCGATCAATGTGGGTAACTTGTCTCAAGAAGAAGAACGGCCTCGAAAATGTATAAGAACGGGCAAGCGGCGGAAGAAGAGGGTTAAGTCGAAGGAAAGGGTCGAAGGCTTTATCGAGAGCAATTTGCTAAACACTCTGGAGCTGACCGACCAACAAGCTATAGACAGCTTCATGCTTAGTCTCAACTCCCTAGGCGAAGAAGGGAGCGTGAATGTATCGCAGACTCTCCCCAGGGAGGATACCATTCAGGATATCAAAGTATTGGAAGACCTGCAATCATCGTCCCTAATCGGAATTCTCTTTGAGCAATTGATGCTGGCGCCAGAGAGGTCGTACAGGGGCTACCAAGTCTGGGGCTGCGGACTCAGTTACTGCCTCACCAAGCTTGCGCCGGGAGTATTTCATATGCCCTATCTCAAGGTATGGGTCTCGGCAATCAACTATTTCAGTCGCTGATAAAAGAAGCAGAGCATATCGGACCGCGCCGAACTACTACCCATCATTGCCACATCCTTAGCAAGTATGCAGCATGCCGAATCGCCAGTGCTCAGACAGCAAGTGGCCGATCTAGCATCGGGCTATAAGGTTTATTCTCACCCACATAGTGCAAAAAAAGGCTCTGTGGACATACTGGAGAGAAAGGCATGGGAGGTACTTCTTCTAAATGTCAATATGCCTCCAGTGACAAATAGGAGAACGCCAAAAAGAATCATGTTCCCGACTCGAAACTCTCGCATGTCGGACCAAGGGTTCGTTGCTCCAGAACCAGGCGAATGCGTGCATCCAAAAAGTCAAAGTAGTACAATGATGGATGTAAGCTGGGACATCATAGATGGTTACCTCGACATTGCGAAGGATGAGGAGCATCACGAAGCAATAACTGATTTGAGTCTCGAAGTTGTCAAAACGGATCAAGATCTATGGAGTGATGCTACAAGTAGCCCAACCTTCATAGGTTGGCTAGAGCCATGGCCTGGTGAAACTGGTCGGTGTGAAACTGGTTTTGACACAATGGGGTTTATGGATGAGATGCCACTTGAGCAAGCTTGGATGAGGCAGGATATTGACCTCACAACAAGACAGGAGACAATAGTCGACCCAGCAAACTTCCCAAGTCTGGACCACTGGCTAATCTGCGATAATCAGTGTAACTTAGACTAACATGTGGTGATGAAAGCGTGTCACTCGGAAACTGAAAAGAGATTTGACCAGAATGGCGGGATTTGGTGATGCTCTAAGCAAGATTGATATATTATAGATAACGTATGGGAGAGGCAAGCGTAGCATGGCGCTTGAGCCTGTTCTATAGAAATGGTGAGGCAGATGTAATGTTGAATGTTAAGTCGATAAGATCGCAAACGAGTGCCCCATGGGCCAGGATATAAAGATTGACGTTGATCATTGCTGAAGGAATAGATGGTGCTTATTTGCTTGGCTTTGCTGTCTTGCCCGCTTTCTTCTTATCCTTCTTGTCCTGTTTTGCCTTGCGCTGCTCGGGCTTCATGGTTGCATAGTGAATGTACCAGAGAAGGACGATTTGCAGAATGACAGCCACAAGGACCACCAAGAGGATGGTGAAAATAATGGGTTGGTCATTGAGGACAGCAACAGCTTCGTCTGTAGCGCCGATAGAGGAGAACCAGTCAAACTGACCCATCGTGAAGGACAAGGTATGTTTGGTTGTGAGGATGAAGTTGTCGTTGTCGTAGTATTAGGAAGAGTATCGTATTTTTGATAAAGGAATGCCGGATTTTAATTTTTTTCAATCTCAATTAAGCCGTACAGTGCGCCAGTCACGTACAGAGTAGGAATGGAAGATAATATGTTCTTTGAATGGAATAGAATAAAGACGTACAGAGACCGAGATAGCTATGGGAAGAGGAAAAGAGTCAAAGTGACAGACGGGACGCGAAGCAAATGTGGTAAATGGTCCACCGTGAGTGGTGACAACGGTGGAAGACCCCTAACAGTCGCTTGGCTTCCAGGGGTGTTACTGAGACGTTTCACCTTGTAACAAAAGTCGACTGATGTGAAGGTGGCTCATGATTGGCTATGCTGACGATACAATTGTGAGAGTACGATGAAGCAAGCGGCTAGTACCTAAATAGAAGAAGGAACAGTTCAATCACACTCATCGGGCTTCATAATGGCGTCACTGATGTAGAGTGAGGAGTTCCGTATTGGGGCGGTTGATTCCATTCGGTGGCTTCAAGGAACGTCCCGACAATGGATGAGGTTGAATTAGACAAGCATGTTCTGGAGCACGTGATTATGAACGGAGAATGAAAGTTCCAGGGTCGGCTCTTAGGTGACTTCCATGGTGATGCAAGTCCTGATTTGATTGGCTTTTACTGTTCATGAACCGCTAACCGCATGGGGATTATGTCAATTGAGAACCATCCATTTCTTGGGTCCCCAAAAAATCTCTAGCTCGTGTGAGAGAGATACGACAGAGAGCGAGAGAGAGCGCGAGAGAGAGCGACGCTAATTAATCCGACCTCCTCCTCCTCCTCGTCGAATTAATACTCCTCAACCTCGTGCCGACCATGAGCGTCGCACGTCCGGCGCGCAACCTCCTCGGCAGGTGCATCGCCTCATCTCGAACCGCTTCAGTTACCGTCCCTCTCGTACCATGTAGTCAATTCCACAGCACACCACCCAGGTCGAAGCGAAAGTCTCGGTTTCGAAATGTCACGGCTCAGGAGCTAGGTCTGATCAAGGAGTCGGGTGAATTTACGGCGGGCATGGACAAGTACAGGCAGGACAAGTTTGCCGACCTGTCCAAGCAGGATCTCGAGAACCTCAAGGCCTCTTACACACCAGAGCAACTTGCGGCTGTTGAGCTGGGCGAGAAAGCCGTCAGCCCGGAAGACATGATCATTCAGGGCCGGCTACGTGACGATCCCTACAAGCCAACGTACATCGAGGATTATACTGTGCTGGACCCCCGCTACGATATCAAGCCGGAGATCGAAGGCACCCCGAGAGAGGTGCAATGGCCTGACAAGAGCGAATGGATCGACAATTACGGCCAAAAAATGATGAAGATCACGGACAAGAAGACGAGCGACCAACTTACCCGAGCCATGGTCAGAGCATTGCGACGTGTGAAGGAGAGCCAGGGAGAGGACTTGATAGATCTCACTGAGGATGAGCTCAAGGACATTGAAAAGGACCCTGAGCTGATCAAACGCTACATCATCGCCGAGGACGGCCCCGAGCCCACTGCAAACGATAAGGGTCCCGAGTTCATGACTCGTTCCCAGGCTGAGAAGTTGGATGAGGCTGTTGACGAGGCATGGGAGGCCGAGCTCGACAAAATTGTTGGTTTTAGCAGTCAGGGTGAGGTCGAGCCCTCGAACCTTGAGCTCATTCAGGATGGCCCCGCGGGTGTTGATCGGACCTACTCGGCTGAGGCACCTGATCTCGGCAAGGTCCCTGGTGTCAAAGGCTTGTACAAGCACGCCGTTGACCCCGAGGATCAGGGCCAGGATGACTCGGGCAAGTACCAGGAGATCAAGCGCCTGACAGGCATGAGTCTCAAGGACATTCGCTCGCTGCTGACCAAAGGTCTTGTGACTCGTTGGGTCTCCAATCAAACTCGTTTGGGCAAGGTCCGCAGTACCTCTGTGGTTGCCATCGCTGGTAACGGCAATGGCCGTCTAGGACTTGGAATGGCAAAGTCTACTGAGGCCGGTGTGGCTGAGGAGACAGCTCAGATGTTGGCCATCCGCAACATGAAACCCGTCCGACGATATGAGAACCGTACTATCTATGGTAATGTGTCTGCTAAGATTTCAGGCACTGTAGTCGAGCTGATGGCCCGTCCTCCCGGTATGTATACACTCATCACCGGCAACCACGCGATCATGCTAGCTAACCTCCTCCCTCCCAGGCTTTGGACTTCGCTGCCCTCACCGTATTTTCGAGATGTGCCGCGCCGCCGGTATCCATGACATCGCTGCTCGCATGCCCCGATCCAAGAACCCCATGAACTCTGTCAAGGCGGCGTACCAAGCGTTGACCAACCAGCCCGACCCCGAGCAGATAGCCATCGGCCGGGGCAAGAAGCTGGTGGACGTGCGCAAGGTCTACTATGGAGGAGCTGTATATTAAACCCACTCTCACGCAAACCAACTGTATCACCAAATGAAAAAAACGTGTATCTGTAGCCTGTAATAGAGAAATGTTTGTTTGATGCCCTCGGTATGGTAAAAAAAAAAAAATGGCATAGTTGATGTATCTATCATGGCTTGATATCAAATGTCTGTCGTATTGCCATGTGAAAGAAGGTATCGTTTCGCGCATCATATTTGGTTGGGTATCAATCCTTGCCTCTTCCACCACAAAGCTGCCTTTTCGTTCTTGTTTGATTCATTTAAACTTATTGCGCTGTCGATCCATCACCCCAGTCAATCTCCTGCTGCAAGACTATGCTGTAAACACTGGCTTTGAGAAGAGTAAAGGCTAGACTCGTCTTGCGCTCGAGCTCACGAAGACCGTCAAGAATTTCTGTGCTAGGGTTCGAAGCAAGATGTTCGAGGACAGTGGCGAGCTAGGAATAATATCAGTCAGTCTGTGCCTGTCTTTCGGATCCCAGCATAATGAGGCAGACGCACTTTGTTCATGTTATCGGCCAAGCGTTCGTACTCGTCCAAAACCTCTTGCTCCAGTGGTGTGAGTTCAGGAGGATCAAGAAGCCCCCCTGCTTGGGTTTGATCCATGGTGACTATTGCAATTGATTGATTGACGGTATGGGAAGACAAGTCGTGGATTATGTTGGTTATTGAATCTTGGTCCACAAATTATAGGTATGTTTACGTGCCAAGCTAGGTAGGCGCGGTTCTGGAGGGGCTCGTTTGATTCAGTTGCTGATAAGATAAGATAATTCATCAATCGTCAAATGAAGTGGGCCTCGGTTTGCTTCAGCTCACCTTTGTAGCCTACAAGCACTGTCTCAGTAAAGTTATTGATTCGTACATTCTTTTGTTACTAAAAAGTTGTCAAGAAAACATTATTCTCGTCAAAGCCGACCTAAGCAGATTGCGAATACTAAGGAAAAAGGGGGAAGGTCTCCAATCCGATCAAAACCCATGCCAATCCTGAACGCTCGCTCGTCATACAATCAATCGTTAATGCCCTTGCCAAATAAACATCGCCCACCAAACTCAAGTCTCCCTTGTCTCGTTTCCATCTCGAAATAAACATGAATGGTATGGTATGCCAGCTAAATCAAGCTTGTCGCCATTGCTCCTCCGCCTTAATTCCCATAGACCACTACCTCGTTGCCCTGCACTGATCCTGCATCAGTCCCAACATTGCTCTCTGTCCACTCGCTTTCGGTATAACTGTACTCACTACCCTCGTCACCATCCGTATACATATCTGTGCTGTTCGTGACTACGGTGCCTCGACTGCTTCTTCTCAAGGTTTCGTTGTCGCTGTCGCCACCCTCACCACCATCCGCTCCCTCATCATTGGGTGTCGATTCAATGATTATCGTCTCGTCTGTAGGGGTTTCTGTAACCTCTGGCGCTGTTGCTGACTTGACGTCTGCCTCATCAACCTCCTCGACGGTCTCATTGAGAGTATTCTCTTTGTCATTGTCAGCGAGGCCTTTGTCGAGATTACCACCCCAGCTTCGTTTGCGGTATGTTTTACCGCCGCCGAGGGGGGTTCGTACGCTCTGGCTGCGCTTGACACCTCCAGAAGCTACATTGTTGTTGATCTGGCTGAGCGAAACGATTCTGCGACCTGCTCCGTTCTGTACTGGAGCAGCCAAATTGCGTTTAGCATTCAGTGCCATGCCAACCATAGACTTCCGGCCATGTGCACCTGCTTCCGGAGACTCCTCTTCGTTGGCAGGCTTTCTGACACGTTTGCGGCTCATAGCATCGCCACCATTCCTATTCGCCTTTGCCATGAGAAGGACTCGTGAATGGTCCATAACGCCCTCGAGGATCCGGCGCTCCAGGTTTTCAGCACGAGATTCCATGTCGTAGAGTTCCTCTTTACGCATGTGAAGGGCCGTCTCCAGGGAAGAGACATCACCAGTCAAACGTGTCTTCTGGCGTATCAGACTCTCCTGTTCTGTTCTCAGCGTCATAACACTCTGTCGAAGTCTCTCCTCCTCGTCTCGGAGACTCGCAACTGCTGCCTCAACGTGATCCTTCTCCGCGAGCTTACGTTCCACAGATGCCATGGTCTCTTGGAGAGTCTTGGTATGGTCTTCGTGAGCCTGCTCAATTCGCTGCTTCTGCACTGAGAGGAACTCGGAAATATCAGCAGCTGTCTGGACTACCGAGGCATGAACCTTGTCCAGCGTATCAAGGCGACTGAAGGCTTGATCGGCAACGGCGCTGTGGTCGACCAATTTGTCGAGCTTCTCTTGCACAACAGCGTCGTCATATCGGCCATCCAGAACCAGATCGAGCTTCTCGCGGACCAAAGTATCATCGTACTTGGAGTCCATGATCAGATCAAGCTTCTCGCGGACGGGCGTATCGTCGTACTTTTGCTCAACAAGCATGCCAAGGATTTCCTTGATTGGTGCATCGTCATATTTTTCTTCGATGATTTTGTCAAGCTTAGACCGCACTTCGGCGTCGTCATACTTAGATTCGATGATTTTCTCCAGCTTTTCCCGAATCTCCGAATCATCATACTTGGACTCGATGATGGTATCTAGCTTCTGATGCACTTGAGAATCATCGTACTTCTCATCAATGATCTTGTCTAGTTTCTCGCGGACCTCTGTGTCGTTGTACTTTTCCTCGATGATTTTGTCGAGACGTTCCTTGACTTCCGAATCATTGTAAATCTGTTCGATAAGCTTATCCAACTTCTCATGAACATGTGTGTTATGAAACTTGTCATCAGTGAGAAGTGTGAGGAGGGTCATGAGCTCTTCAGGAGACTTGTGCTCGACAATCTTGTCCTGGATTTCGGTCGTCGAAGACTTTGAGTGTTCATAGTGTTCACCGACAAGTAGGAGAAGATCCTTGACAGACTCGAGAATCTTGGGATGAGACTCGCTGACCTCTCCTTTCAGGCTCTCGACAGCCGTCAAGGCCTCGGTGATTTGGTCGCGGGTTTGCTGATGCTCGGCCTTGTCCTCGGTGTGAGTCTCTTCACTGCGGGCCACGAGCTCCTCCACCTTGGTGAAGACAGTCTTAGAAGCCTCCTCCATCTTCTCCAGAGAATCAGTGACAGTAGAGCCCAGAGTATCAATGAGAAGCTTGAGCTCGTCTGTGACAGATTTAGAGCTTACAACGGCTGCCTCCATAGCCTCGTCCCGGGCTTCGCTGACCTTGCTTCTATCATCAAGGGTAGTCTGAAGAGTCTCATATTTGGCAATGAGCTCACCAATCTTCTCGTCGATCTTGGTGCTTAGCGTCTCAGTTGCCTCTTGAAGTTTCTCGTTGGACTCGACCTTGACGCCAGACACAACAGCCTTCGAGTCCTCAAATTCAGTCTTGATGGTATCAAGCATGTCTTTGAGGTCCTGATGGACGTTCTCGTTCTTGTTGATCTTCTCGCCGACGGTCTCCAGGAGCTTGCTAATGTTCTCGACACCAGTTGCGCCCTCTTCAAGCTTGACGTTGATGGTTCCTTGTAGTTCCTCAAGGAAGGTTTTGATCTCGGTAACGCGCTCGCCAACGGAGGTGCTCTCCTCATCACGGACTGCGATTGCCTTGGTTTGAGCGTCAACTGTGGTATCCAGCTTGTCCTGAAAGTCTTTGACAATAGATTCTAAGCCGGTAAGATCTTCTTTCTTGACAAGAAGAGCCTCCAGGCTGGTAATGTCCTCCTTGCGCGCGAGGAGAGCGAGGTCGGTGGTGGTAAAAGATTCAAGAGCCGTCTTGACTTCAAGAGCCAAGGCTTCAACGGCCTCGACATCAGCCTTGGTGACCTTGTCGGGATTTTCACTCTCTTTGGCAGCGTGTTCCTTCATCTCGTCAAGTCTAGTTGAGACTTGACCAAGAAGAGCTTCCAAGGCCGTGACCTCCTCTTTGCGGGAGACCGTCTCCAATTGAGTTGTAAGGGAGCCCATAGTCTCCCGAGTCTCAAGAAGCAAGGCCTCCACATTGTCGATGTGGTCCTTTCGAACGGCTTGCTCACCATCAATCAGATCGTCCAGTTGACCTTTGGTGTTGCGCAGGATAGTCTCGATGGCTTGCATGTCCTCCTTTGATGCAGGCTCATCGCCATCTCCCACAATTGCACGAGCGGTCACTTCTTCTCCATCCTCCTCCTTCTTCTTCTTTACCGAAGCCGATCTTGTGAATGTCTCCCGGGAGGCGATCTCGTCAACGCTGTCCTGAACTGTGCGAAGTAAATCCTCCATACGAGACAGATCACCTTTCTGAACACCCTCGTTCTCAGACTTGACAGAGTCGATCTTGATGGCAAGTCCAGCGATCAACACCTCGAGGTTCTTGATGTCATCCGATTTGATCTTTTCGGACGGCCCGTCATCTTCTGTCTTCTCAGTTGACACTGCAGCAAGGGCCCGCTCACTGTTGCTATCCCGCAAAGCCTCAATGTCGGAACGAACAGACTCAAGGCCGGTTTTGAGAGCATCAAGAATCTTCTCGTCGGTGGCTAAGTCTGCAGGTGCAATGGCTCGTTCATTGTTGCTCTCTCGAAGAGTTTCGATATCTGACCGGAGAGACTCTAATCCTGTCCTGAGAGCATCCAGAACCTCATCGTTTGGCTTGGTATCTGGAACTGGGGCTAAAGCTTTCTGGTTACTTTCTTGGAGTCCTTCGATGTCGGTTCGTAGAGAATCGAGGCCATTCTTAAGGGCCTCGATGACTTCATCATTGGTGGTATTATCGACTGGGGCGGCTGCTTCCTTTTGGGCAGTAGCGATTGCTACTATTTCGGCGTGAAGAGAGTCAAGACCATTTTTCAAGGTGACGATAACTTCATCGTTTGAAGTATTCTCTATGGGAGCATCAGGCCTCTCCTGGGCTGCAAGAGCTGCGATCTCGGCATGGAGGGAATCAAGACCATTCTTGAGAGTAACTATGACTTCGTCGTTTGAGGTGTCCTCTCCGAGTGCAGCACGATCACTATTGTCACGAGATAATTCAATATCGGCTTTCAGTGACTCAAGTCCGTTCTTTAGAGCTTCGATGAACTCTGTGCTGGATGAGTGGTCGACCGGTGCGATAGCCTTTTCGCTACTATCGCGAACGGCTTCAATATCAACGCGGAGAGAGTCAAGCCCGTTCTTGAGAGCCTCAATCACCTCGTCGTTGGTGGTGTTGTCGACAGGTGCAGCGGGCTTTTCAGAGGTGCTTAGACGAATAGCTTCGATGTCAACACGGAGAGCATCGAGGCCATTCTTCAAGGCCTCGAGAACCTCATCGTTCTCCTTGGGCTCAACCACAGCGACCGCCTTCTCTGTCTGACTATCTCGAAGTGCTTCAATATCAGCTCGTACACCACTGAGTCCTGACTTCAGTGCTTCAAGGACTTCGTCGTTGGCAGGAGGTGTAGACTCCAGCGTGGCAACGGCGCGGTCATTACTACTGTCGCGAATAGATTCAATATCAGCTCTGACGGAGTCCAGTCCAGTCTTGAGTGCTTCAAGAATCTCGTCATTGGCGGTCAAGTCGGTAGGCTTGTTCGTGACACGGTCCATACCTGCCCGGAGGTCGTTGAGGCCGTCATTAAGTGCGTCAAGGATTTCACTTGTCTCGGCTCGTGGTCGCAA